GGAGGAGGAGAAGGTGGAGTAGAGGAGAGGAGAAAGAGGAGGAGAAGGAGGAGGAGAGAGAAGTAGAAGGAGGAGAAGGTGGAGTAGGAGGAGGAGTAGGAGTAGGCAGGGGTGGGCAGGTAAGGGAGCAGACAGGTCTCCTGGAGGCGTGGGTATGTAGCAGTGGAGGATACATCAGAAATCAGAACTAAGTAGAAATGCAATGGAGGCTGCAAATAGCCCATGTACAACAACTTTTAACTGGCCCTATGCTTTCCCTAGAGAAAAATAATAAAAGGCTAACAAGCACATCTGTCTGTACAGGCCTCGAACGCTTCACTCCGTGGGTATCCCGCAGTGGCTAGTCCACTACATCTCCCACACCAGACTTTTGCTCGTAGAGACAGACGCTATCCCTGACTCTCTCTTTTTTTTTTTTCAACCTATTATAAAATATAACTCTTACTTACATCACAAATATACATTATCGCAATTTTATGTCTCGCAAAAGGGATAAAACTTATTTTACTCTTCACTGATAATGTATTAAAACTTACAAAATAGACAAATAACATTGTTTTTCTGCGAGATAAATGAAAAAGATAATGGAGGTTTTGTTAAGCTTTACATTTAGCTATACATTAATTTATCCTTTCTGGTTTCCAGTTTCTGGCTGTTAATGACAATGTACAATGTAATAGAGCAGCAGGAAAAGCTAGCAGAATGCTTGGTTGTATAGGGAGAGGTATTAGCAGTAGGAAGAGGGAAGTGCTCATGCCATTGTACAGAACACTGGTGAGACCTCACTTGGAGTACTGTATACAGTACTGGAGACCATATCCTTAGAAGGACATGGATACCTTAGAGAAAGTTCAAAGAAGGGCTGCTAAACTGGTTCATGGATTGTAGGATAAAACTTACCAGGAAAGGTTAAAGGATCTTATCATGTATAGCCTAGTGGAAAGACGAGACAGGGGAAATATGATAAAAGCATTTAAATACACAAAGGGAATCAACACAGTTAAAGTGGAGTCTATATTTAAAAGAAGGAAAACTACCATAACAAGAGGACATAGTCTCAAAAATAGAGGGACAAAGGTTTAAATAAAAATACTATCAGGAAGTATTACATTACTGAGAGGGTAGTGGATGCATGGAATAGCCTTCCAGCTGAAGTGATAGAGGTTAACACAGTAAAGGAGTGTTTAAGCATGCGTGGGATAGGCATAAGGCTAAGCACTTGCTGCTAGTAACAGATCTAGAATCAATACACTATAATGCCCAAAGTCTCGACTTCTATGCATATATAATAATAAAATATCTGGGCTTACATTAAAAAAAAAAAAAATATGTTAGTCAGTCTTTAATCTTGGTGGTTAACATTATCCAATAAAGACAGATTGGAACACCCTCCCCCCTTATCCATTTGTTAGTAGTTAGGCTCATAATGTTTTCTGGTTCTTTTCAATTAGATCAAAACATCTTGAGACCAATCTTTAATTGTATTACCATTTGTTCAAGAAATCTTTGTTTATTAGAAATTTCTTTTAGCATGTTATCAATTTTTTGTACACAAAGTTAATACATATTGTTACTTAACACGTGAATCGGTATATATATATCCTTTCTACATATTAACCATCACTTGTCACAGACACTTTTCTGATATAGGGAAACATTAGCAGGATTATTTTAGTAATTGTAACTTTCTTGTTCATAATATGTGGGAATTAAGGAAGACAGCATGAAGATGAGCATGATAGGAGTAGATCTCGTCAGCCATGGATGGCCAGAACTGACACGATATATGGGCAGATATGACCTCACTAAGGGCAGAGTGAAGGCACTTAAGGACAACCTTCTTTTGTTCTAGGGGCCATTTTCCTTTAGGGCATACTAAGTCTCTCTGGAGGCGTGGGTTTCATGGGAAGTAACATTCTGTTCGGCAAAATGAAAATCTGAACTGTGGACAGACTTGACGGATTAAATAAGACAGTTGTGAATATTATACATCTAACAGCCCACAAAGCTGTCTCTAGAAACATATACTAACTTAATAACTTCTATTCCTGCATCAGATTCACTCCCTAACCATCCTATCAATTTCTATTGAGATAACAAAATACACAATTAGAATATTTTCTAGCAAAAATTTCATTGCTAAAATCTTATCAGTAGCTTCTGAATAACTCTACAGAACACCGAAGAGACAGACCTAAATCGCAAGCATGTCACCACCCCCCTCCGCCCCCTCCCCCCCGCGTCTCACAGAAGCGAGGGGAGGGGGGGGTGTTTTAGCAGAGGGGGATTTGAGTGGAACAAGAGAGAGACTGCCTGCCAGCACGAATTTAACCATGTCAACGCTGTACAGTAACAAGACAGAAGGACAATTACATTACAAAGCAAAAACACAACATTTCATTTAAACCCCCACCCTCTACCAGGGTAATGGCTAACACAAAATACAAAAACCCCACAGCGTTTTAAGATTGGGGTGGGATGGTGACCATGGTCAGCTACATTTCGGTCATTACTGACAGGATGATGGAAGTGGTCACCTCCTGGAACCCCCGACAGGGCACTGGCTGGGATAACTTCCCAGTAACACAATTATTATGATATACATACAGTTCTTAACCCTTTATGATTTATCTCTTCCTCTACCCAACCCTCCTGCTGGATAGCCTTTCTACTCTGTACCATGCTTCAGCAGTACGCAATAAATCATTATCTGTAAGCTTGCCTTTCTTCTCTGTCAGTAATCTACGCCAGCTTTCTGGCTGTAATCTACCACATGAAGGCACAGCAATTTTACACACTTTAGCAATCTTTGCAACATTTTTAACCAGTTCTTCACCTTCTCTATCTTCAACTAAATCACACGCGAGCCAGCCCCTAGCGGGCTTACTCGTTTCCTGTCCCATATACCCCTATACAAAGCGTATAAAAACATATACAAAGTATAGGTAAAGGAAAATGAAACAGAACGTCTACAATGCTCGACTGCCACTAGGAAGGGTGGGTCCCTCCCAGTGCGTCTTCCCAAAACGTAGACCAGTCACTGAATCCGTGTACCCTCGATGGTAACCACGGATTGGAGCGGGGTGAGAAGTGTGTGACCAATCACTTCTCTTTCAAGAGAAATAGGAGTGGATAGTGTAAATAGTACAGGAAGTAGAGGAAAAGTAAACAGTGAAAGTAGAGACAGACCCAGGAGTTTGAATGACTCCACACTTAAGACAACATTTAATACATTTCAATTGAAATACAGTGCATGCATCAACAGTAATCCCTTTCCTTTACTCTTGTGGCCACCAAGCCACCTCCCTCAATCTCGTAGTGTCCCCGCTCGGAGAACAACTTTCGTAAGTTTCACTACCAGCGGCCAAGGATAACGACTAACACCGGCCCGAATCCATATGCCTCCCTCGTTACAGCAGTCCACTAAGTGTGGCCACCTCTATCCTCACTCCCGTAGTGCTCCCTATGGACCCACCCACAAGTCACACTACCCCGTGGTGATGGAGACAACAATGCCTGCCCGAATCCACACACCACAAATAAATTGGAATGCCACCAGCCTCAGCGCTCGAAGCTGGAGGGTACCATAACCTCTGCAAGCAGAGCAACGTACACAATGAGGCTAGCTAGAATATCAAAGTGACGTAACCGGGAAACCCCAGGAGGCAAGTCCCCTCCACAGAATCCCCCAACCCTTCTTTTTCCTTACTACTGTTAGCTAGACAGTACCTAAAAGAAGTAAACAGGAAAACAGGACCCCTTTGGAAAATCCCCACAGGTCCACCCCCCCTTTTTTCCCAACAGTCTGGGCCAAGTGACTCCTAAAAAGGGGTAAAAACAGGCAACAGAAGACCCCCAGGCAACCACCCACGGGTCCACCCCCCTTTATCTCTAAAGAGGGAAAGAACAAAACATATACCACTAGCACACCCAGGCAACAGATAGACTAAATGCAGGTAAACAAATGGGTAACAAGACACCGGGCAAGATATTACCTGTCTTTGATGCCCTCCCGGGAAGCAGTCACAGACACGTGGACGGGTCAATCAAAGGGGCTGGAACATACCGGTGGCTCCTGCAGAAGTCTCTACCGTGTACTCAGAGGTGATCAGTCTCTCTTCCTTCCCCCCTGATTCCTCCGTCCAACAGCGTCTTCCTTAGGACGGCTTACCGGCGGAGGCCATAGCCCGATGCCCCACGTTGGATGGACGCCAGATGATGTAGATTAATTTAGAAATAAACAAAAATGTTTAAAAGTCTATCTGTTCCTGTCCAAATCTGAGATGAATAAATTGCGTATACGCAGAAGTAAGTTCACACTGACACATGCAGTTCAGGTTAAAAACACTTCAGGAAATTTATTAGCATCTAGTTAAAAAGCGGGCACACAGGCCTTTTTATATGCAAAATGACATCATCATTGAATATCAGATAATAACAAATAAACATCATTAATTGGGTTAAATGTTAAGTGGCTATGTCAGTGTCCACCCATTAATATTATTAATTGGCTCAGAGATTTGAGTGACTAGTGAGGCACCCTCCCATCATGGGATGTCGTCGCCATTGCTCTTTAGCACGAGGCTTACTCGGTGGAAAGGGGGGCTTGGGCGTCATTTTACGTAGTTAGTGATGTCAGTCTCGTGGTCTGTTCCAAGGTTCTTTTATGAATAGAACATTTCATTTTGTCACTGTTCTCCTGGCCTTGGATTATACTATGTTGCAAGTCAACGGAGATCCGCTAACTCCGGGGCTAGTTATGTCCTTAGAGAGAGAAAATACAATCTCTTATTCATTATACTGAATACTGTCAGGAAATTCTGTCATGTAAGGTGAACAAAATGGAGTTAGTACAATAATTCAATACAGGTTCTAATAAAGATTTTAATAATTCTACATCATGTGTATAGTGAATGCAGTGTGTTTGTATAATGTAGTGTGTGTATATAATGCAGTGTGTTTGCGTAGTATGTGTATATAATGCAGTGTGTGCGTGTGCGTGTTTGTGTAGTGTGTGTATATAATGCAGTGTGTTTGTGTAGTGTATTTATATGATGCACACTACACAAACACACTGCATTATATACACACACTACACAAACAACATTAAAATAGTGTGAGCGCTCTAATAATAAAAAGCTAAATAAGCCATATGTCCACCACTTCAGCAATGAACTAGTGTTAACTAGACTCTCAGCCACGACTCTGATTATCCAGACAAAACATAAGGACACACTCTAAGGCTTAAAAATATGGCAATACATATAGTGCCTATTTATTGGAAACAAAGTTAAAAGGAGAAGAAAACAAACAAACCACAAGACAAAAATTACACAGTAACTAGGTGAAAACCAGCAAGAAATAAAATCCCTGACAGCTGCCGGACACAATATAGCAGGCTAGAGTATTACTAATTAGCCTTCCAACACGATGCAAAGATAAACATGTTAAACTGGTTATACAAATGTAATAATTTACACAGGCACCTAGTGGAAATAAGGGTTTCCCCAAAAAGTCATAAATCTAGCTCCAGTGAGGGGCCCCTCTGCTGGAGCTGATAAGTGCCAGAAAATAGAATAGAATAAAAATGAGCAAAAGTAGGTAAAAAGAAAAAGAAAAGAAAAATGGGAAAAGGAGCTCAAAAACCCGAGAAGTGCAGATAGGCTGAGGGTGTTATCCTGCCCACGCTACACAAGGGCTGATTATGATGCATCCAGCGTCCCACCCTCTGTTCCTCTACACTACATTTCCCAAGTTTCCTATCAATACAAGCCCATTGGCGATGTCAATCCTCCGGTCATGCCCATTTCTATTCTTTTTTACTCCTTGTTTGTTCAGACCCTCGTTTTTTTTACCATTTTAACCATATGTACAATTTTTAAACTAAGATCTCAATATACAATATGTTTATTTATTATTTTAAATGTATGATTGTTTATCATGGCCACGACCACGTGACCATGATGTCATTTTACCACCAATTTTGAATTTTCCATGTATTTTATCCTATATAAGATTGTGTATGCCAAGTATTTGCTTGATTACCACTTGAAAAAGCGTTTTGTGGGTGAAACGCATTGTGGACCTATTTTATCACTGTTTTTGTTGAAATAAAGGTTTTTCGTAACTTTTACTGCCAATATTAGTACCATATACCTTTTTTCCTTTTTGTTACCTGGCATCCAGTTTTTATCTTTCCAGTGAGGACCTCACCAAGTATACTTGGTAGGGATTATACCACCTATGCTGATTATACTGAGTGGGTTATCTGCTCAGACAAATGTGAGTACTATTTATTTATTTTTACTCCTGGTTGAATATATTTTATACAGAGAGTACTATTTTTGCACCCTTTTTTACTTTCAAATCTAATCTAATCTGCTGATAAGACACATGTTGGTGAATATCTTCCACCATATCCCTGAAGTGGGGGGAAAATCCACTGCAAGCGCTTTATACTAGAGCTGGTTTTAGCTCTATCGCATGTGAGTATGCCATTTGGATTTCTTTTTACTCAAGCTTTTATCATAATTTATACATATTGCACTATTGGAGTTTTTTTTCTTCTCTTTTATGTTCCTGGATTATGAACACCTGGAAGGTATACTAACCTGAAGATACAAGCAAACCTTTATAGACTTACCCACACTAATATATTTTATCCTGGACTTTTGGCTTGTCCTTTTTATATACACGATTTTATACTATCAAATGGGCAGTGTATAATTTGTCTTATCTTATTTGTTTTACTTAGAGCTATTCTGATTCCTAACCCCTTGGCACACCCTATTGTTCTGTATTATTCTTATCATGCTATGCCTATATTTATTGAAATATAATAGTTGGTATATTATAGTGTATGAATATTAATGTGGGCTTTTATATGGTTTGTGACATGCAATACATTAGACAAAAACCTAATGCATCAGTCATCAATATAATTTTGGTTATTAGTTTTCAAATTGCAGTTTAATGAATATCAATATCTGATATTAGTTGGGTATGTTATTGTTTCATGGTAGACTTGTTGATGCATGTGTTAACACTTTGAATATTTTACATTTTCTTGACAGTCTGACAGTTGCCATGCCAATAGTTCAGTTGACTCATCTGTCCCAAGCTAGCTATGTAGGATTTCTACAATGAATATTTTATTTTTGCACAAGTTGCTTGGTCTATGTAATACATTGATTTTTTAAATCTTTATGGGAGTTTTTAATCTCCTACACAGAGTTTGTTTTCTATGCCAGTGTAACTGATTAGATATGGACACTAGTAAATGCAATTTTCATGTTTCAAGGCTTGCCCCGTGCCAAATAAATATCATGTTGGCTTCTAAAAAATTAAAGTGACTAAAGTGAATAAGAAGCTAAATTTAGGCAGGTACTAATGGAAAACAAATTCCAGTTCAGCTATAGTCACAGCTTTAGCCTAAATTATGTTTTTTAATTCACTACATCTCGCTGTTAAGTAATTTAGTATAATATTGATATGTTAACAAGTGTTATATTAGAATTTATGTATAATTTGCAAACTTTGATGTTACCTGTGTAGTTATCTGTTGAGGTTTTTACACTAAGTTTTCCCAACTACAGTCCGAAAAAAAAATGATTTCCAAGCTCCTGGTACTTACAAAACAAAGCTTCTACAAAGAAAAACTCAACATTTCTTCATCTGAAACTATTCTTTATTGATATAAGCCTTATTACAAATATATTCCATTGTTTTTCCATTTTGACAGGGCAGAAATTAAGGAAATATTTAAACAAAGTATTGATTGTATGAAATAGTATATCTTTTTTTAAATTTAAAATCTGCTGATTGCAATGCAGTATTGTTTTATGAGGCTATTTTTGTATCTGTTCAATACACTAAACTGAATCTACACTTGTGATTATAAGATAAAGTTTTCACAATTATTGTTATCACTAACTGAATGATGCTTTGCAAGAAGAAGTGTTTATTGCAAGAATAATAAAATAGAAAAAAAATGTTTTCAACTACCTGGTTCTATAATGTGGCAAAGCAGTATTTTATCATTATGAGATATTCAGGATTATAGTAGTCAATATAGTGTTATTAAGAGCTTGGTGATCAGAATAAGTATTTTTAGAGTCAGCACGTGTTCCTTTTTGCGAGACTATTGGAAATAACTCTAATTGTGTTTTTTTTTCCCCATCTTTTCTTGGTTCAACAGCAGATACTGGGGTGTGTAAAACAAGGTGGATGTTAATCCTTATATTTGACGTAATTATAAATACAAAATGTGGATGAAGGCTACTTAAACACGCCAGGACTAATGATTTTTTAGTGGTGATGTATGTTGGATATCCAGGCAGAGAATCATGTATTGTCATATTTATTGCTCTAGAGAAATTGATAACCCTTTTGTTCTTAATAAAGTAAACATTGTGAATTAATTTGTAATAAGGTATTTGCATTATATGTAGCCCTTATTTATTATTTAACTATAACTTGAATTTATTTTGGTTAACAGTTAAAAAACAAAATTTGTGTCAGTCTCCAAATATTTTTGGACCTACTGTAGTAGTTTCTCAGCTTTTTAAGGTATTCACATCCAAAGTGGAGGAAGGGATTAGTAATTACAACTCTTTAATATGTAGCCCCTATTTTACAAATTCGACATTTGACTCAAAAGTTGTTTCATGGACAAATATAGGCTAAACCTTTGATATTTCTCAATTAAGCAGGTAAAAGATCTGGAGTTGATTAAAGGTGTGGGATTCACATTTGGAAGCTGTTGCTGTGAACCCACAACATTCGGTCAAAAGAGAAAATTGTGTCAGTGTCCAAATATATCCGGACCTAACTATATATAGCTTAATTTTTTTAAACACATAACTTCTATGATACATTGCATTAACCTGCCACAATGCCAATGAACCTCATTTGTGGCAGGTCCTATTCTAGCAACAAAATGCCTGCTCCAAGATTAACCAACTTACTTGGGAAATCCATCCTACTGTCGCTCTCCGCAGTCACATGTTAAATAGGGCCCCAGAGAGCGAGGCACCTAATATATAGCAACTTGTAGAGAGCACTTGTGGGATTTCTTAAAGCATCAAACACCGCTTTATTCATTCAAGTATATGGGTGCATTACATTGGCATGATCAATGTTTCAGTCCACTCAATCAAGATGAGAGGGCTGAAATGTTGATTATGCCAATGTAATGCAACTATCATCAGTATTATATGTTTTACTGCTCTACAATACCCATAAATACTCATATTTGTGTTCAGAGATGTCTTACAAGTTCAACAGTACCATCCATGTCCAGGTTTATAATGTTTTGGAAAGTCACAGTGTCAACTATATGACCTTTTTAAGTTTTTACACATTGAAATGTGCCATTGAAGAGAAAGGCATTTAAAGCATTTAAATCTGACAAATTAGAGGCATCCTATATAAGATATAGGGAAGCAAATAATGCATGCAAAAAGACAATTATAATGGCTAAGCTAGAAAATGAGAAATTGATAGTTAAAGAAAGCAAAACCAACCCGCCTAAAAAACTTATAAGTACATTAATTAAAAAAAAAAAAAAAATATTAAAAGTGTATGTACAGAGAGGCTTTCTCGAAGGTGAATCATGTTAGTGTTTTTATAATTGGTTTTAGCTGTATTGTTGTTTTATTAAGTTGTATTTAACCCCTTCCCGGTCCAACAAAAAATGTCCGTTAACGACCTCGGATGTACCTGGTACACATGGCCAGAATAGCCGGCTTGTGCAGTGCCTGCAGGGGCCTGCCTGAGCTCTCAGGCAGTACCCCTAATGCCTGCAGAAAAGTTTTGCAAAGTTTGTAAAACTGGAATAAAAAAGTTTAAAAAAGTAAATATTATATATGATTTATATATATGATCTAAGTTCTTTTATATACACATACACATAAATCATTATCAAAACTATATTTCAATATTAATCTGTATAATTATATATATATATATATATATATATATATATTAATATTAAAATATACTTAGAATAACATTAATTTTATATATATATATAAAAATAAAAATAATCAATAAATACATTGAAAAAATAAAATTTAAAAATAGTAAAATAAAATTGAAAAAA